AAATCGAGCAAGCGAACTGGTTCAAACTGGTGGATTCCATGATTCTTTGCTCACGGCGTACTAAATCTAACGTAATTGCCTCGCGTAAATCGTGCGTAAGTACTCGTCCAGGTGTTCACTTACAAAATCGATAATCGTTCTGTACAGTCTTGCCTGCGACACTAGATCTCGATACACCGACCGTCAGAGAATCAGAGAGTTTTAAGCTAATGTATTTTTCCTGTCTCCCGTCGAGTATTGAATTAGCCTCGAAACAATATATTGCATATACTTTACGGAGAATATACTTTATAGCGTTCGGTTTGAAAAGTAAGAACACGAATCACGAATATAATACCGGAATCGAGATTAATCGCGCGGAAGAAGATCTGGGATAAAATGGATTTTTCGCGATATTATTTTTTAATGGATGTAAAGATGAAAAATAGAAAAACGTTTCACCGAGCGAAAACGTTTTCTCGCGTTTAAGCATGACTCGATATCTCTTGATGCGCTTTCGTAAAATCGTAACGCGTTATTATCGGATCTTCGTTTTAGAAGGAAATCGTATCCAACCGATTTCACGAGTATAGAATCGTAGATACGCGACTATATTTGAAGAAGTGAATCTAAATAAATAATTGAAATAAAAGATAAAACGATATATATAAGCGTACATACAACCTATATATTCTCATTCACACAATTTTCAACTCGTATCAATCTCTTCGATCTCGATCCACCGCGATTTTTTTTTCGATTCTGATCGTTTTTCATCGCGTGGAAAACGATTGGTCGAGTTTCGGACTACAGAGAAGCTTTGGAACAATTTCAATTAACAGGAAGATGGAGAAAATCCAGCACGATTACAATCTCCGCCACATGAAATTAGTTCGCTCTCCATGTCCACGACTCGTGATTACACTGGCAAAGAAACTGGGCGTCGTTTGCCTTTATTCGCGTCCCACGAAACACACCGATCACACGAATATGCATTTATACGGACGTTCTCCTCGTTAACGAGCAGTTTAGAAAGTTTCGAGTACACGATTCTCGCTGTTCGCTTCAACGATCTGCCGCGTAATTATCGTTGCATTAGATAAACGATGCGGCGGATGAAAACAAAAGATATACACGTAAATCCATCCCTCGTTAAGTCGAACATACATAACGAACCTCTCGTAGAACTCGGTTTTCCATCGAGCAAATTACGCGACTCGAAATCGGTAAACGAGATTTTTCGATGGCCAACTTTAAACGATCCTTATTTAAATTTTGATCAAAACTCGGTCCAAAAATCGATTTTGCATTCAGCTATGTGAAATGAACTTGCATTCAGTTCGAATTGTGTTCCGTTCGAATTACAGACACGCGATCCAACCAAGCTGAAACCGATTTTCTTAATCGTTCACAACGACAAGCTTCTTAATCGAATTCTCATCGATCCCTGTGCAAAATGCAGTTGCACTTCGTGTCCGCGACCTATGAGGGAAGATTTCAGAATTTTATTACGACGAATAAATTTAATTAACAATAGGGCGGTTTAAACGATCGAACCGGCGGCCTCTTTGGAAAATTGAAAAACACAATTTCGAAAAAGGGATTCGAAATTCAAAGGAGCGTAAATTCTAAAGGATAATTAGCGACGTCTGGCATTTTACGTTTACTCATATTTTTTTTCCTGTCTTTATAATTCATTTCGTTAATAGTCCATAATTTTCTCTCGTTAAATGAAATGCATTTAAACTGGCATCTCCATTCTCTTCCCCCGACTGCGCGAATCTGAGAATTTTCAATGCAAACTCGGCCCATAATTTTCACGATCATGGATCATAAATTACACGATGAGTTTGAAGAAGAGAACGGTAAGTCAACAACGGTGTCGTGCATATTCTGTCACGCATAATTACGAAAAATGACGCGCGACGAAAGAAGCTTAACGCTTAACTTCCGTTTCGTTCGTTAAAGCTCGTTAGCCCCGCTAATTTTAGATTTGTGATAAGATGTTGCGAAGAAGAAGAAGAAGCGACGTCTACCAAGCGACGCTCTCTTCGTTTTACGGAAGATTTATACCTCGAGCGATCGTAAAGATCACGATACTTAGGAATGACAAACGGACAAATGGATAAATGGAATTTAAAAATGGGAAAAAATGTTTTGCCAATTTGCATAATTTATCTTATCCCACCCATCGTCGAGCAATCATTTTAATTTTATCGCGTTAAACGATCGATCCATAATGTAATACAATTTTTCTTAAAGTAAATGTTTTATTTACTGTCAAGACTGATGTCTGCGTTAATGATATACGAGACAAAAATATCGCAACTCGAGATGTACAAGAATCGAGTCGTAAAAAAAATATATTTATACGTGTGATAGATAGTTTAAAGATAATTGTATTATTATGAAACTCATGCAAAGAGAACAGAATTGCAAGACGATAATCACGATAATTTCAGAATATCAAACTTAAATTAAGAATGAAATTGCGTTAATTGAAAATCGTAGTACAATCAAGAGGATAAATTAGCAAAAATTTTGAGAGAATCTCTTTACGCCTAATCTAATCACGCCTCATCGCAAAACACACAACATGAATTTTCTCAACGTTGATAACGATCGATTTAATCCTGCAACTTTTTCCACGCAAAAACTTTCGGTCTACTTAGCCTAATTGGTTTTCCATTATGCCACTACTGTTTAACAAGTAACACTATTTGACGTAACTTTCGAACGTAATAAAACCGAACACCGAGGATAAATCTCGATAAAAATATCTTATTCATCCTGGAATATCATCATCCTGCTAATTATTCATTTCGAAGAAAAATTAAATTGATTTTGCAACTTTCTAATCTAGTTTCCACTAGTATCTCGCTACGTATCGAATAACTCAATTCGTTCAATCAGTATAAACTTTTTTTTCAAATCTCTCGAAAACCAAACTTTGCTAAAAGCTTACAAATCAAACACCCGTGAAATCAGCCGTGTTTAAAATACGCTCGAAACTCCATACAAAATGGAGACTGTTTTTCACAAGAGAAGAACAACAAGTCAAAACAGAAAATCGATTAGTTTTTTTTTTTTCTCCCCCCTGAAATATACATCAATGTCAATAGTGAACGGGCTCGTTGCCAAACGAATTCGAATCTCTGGCTGACGATCAAATTTCCTATGACAAAAGTCGGTAGACGTAATTACGCTTTTTCGGTCAGTGATATCTTGGAGTCGGAAAATCGAGAATCGATGGGTAAACATCGTGGACATCTAACGACATCCGATAGATACGAATGCATAAAAATGAAAAAAGTTTTCAACTTTTTATCGACAATCGCGCAATTGTTTTAACAAATTTCTAAGCAACAATTCACTCTCGTTATTGATAAGAAAATTAAATATCGCGCGACATTTGCGCGATTTGTTTCCTATTTTTCTACATTTTACGTGTCGCGATAAAAAATGACGAAATGAGAAAAATCGTTTCGACGATCAAACGATATGACCACACGATACAACGAAAAGGTATGATCAAGTAATGAAAAGGATTAATCAAACGAGAATGTAAAGTAATATAAGTTGTTCAAAGCAGGTAGAAAACCGAAATAGAAGAGTAATCGTCGATGAAATTTAATTTGCCCATTTCACCGTTCACTGCCATCAATTGAAATTTCCATAACGAAACACAATTTGTACATTTACTCTAGTGCCACGTGTTAGCAATAAACCAGTATTTATAGGATGTAGCCCGGCAGAGTCTTGCTCTATTCTGAACGCGTGTAAATTTCGCGGCTGGTGCTTTGCGAAACGACCGTTACAAGTCAATCATAATTCATCCTGTGAAAAAATCCATGTTATTTCAGTATTTGCTCGATCAAGTTACTCCGATTGCGACCAAAGTGCTTTATGTCCTTCTCGAAAATATACGATCTCGAAAATCTTGACATTTCTAATTATTTGTTTATTTATCATTCTTCATTCGAAAGAAAAAAAATTGTTCCAACGATGGAATGAAAAAAATTAATGTGCGGTTATAGTTCGAAAAAAATCTTCGAAATATAATAATCCAAGGAAGGAATACGTTTTGAATGGAATTTTGGATTAACACGTGAGAGAGAGAGAATTTCTAATTTGGCCTAGTTCTGATATATTATAGCCAAAAGACGGTCGTACAATGGTGCAAAATACGCGTCGCGCTGATTTATGCTCTCCGGGCCACACATATCCGATGTACACCCATGTCCCATTTTATTTACGAGTTTCTGACATGTGCAATCATTCTTACATCTATTGCGTTTGCCAATATCAACATCGGAAAAAACGAGAGATTAAATAATTCGCAAAAAACATTCAACATGCATCTTTCATCAGAGATGCATGAATGTTTTTCTTTCTTTTCTTTCTTTCGCGATAATTAAAATATTTCTTCTTGTTTTTCCTCTCTAACGTTCTAATATGATAAAAATATATGTACACTTTTTTTTTATTATCTCCAGACAGAAGTTAATAAATATAAGTTCCATTTTATGACGTTCTCGACGATTAGATGTATTTCTTCCAACAGTTTCAAGATCGCAATAATTTTTTAATTCTGATGCTCGTTTAATAAAATTTTTTCGTTTTTTTTAAATAACGATAGTTTTGATTAACAAGATGGAGAAGAGAGGATTGGGTAGATAAATTTCGCGAAAATACGAATTCTCAACCGGTGTATAATAAAACGATCCGCTCGAGCGATTATTTACATGGATTAGAAGAACACGATTTGATGAAGAACACCAGGCGTATAATAAAAGATCGATTTCGAAGTGACGGTCGAGACAGTTCATGAAAAACGAGGAGAGCAAACGTTGAAATTTATTTGCCGTTCGACGAACAGAACTTCGTTCCTGAGAGAGGAAAACAGTCGCGAATGATTTACATTCCTGCAGAGAAGCAGCTCGGTGCGATATGCATTATTTTCCCATTTATCAACTATTCCATATGACCGTACGACCGTTTCCCGATATTCTTTGTCCACGTTTACGCTTCTCTGTGTGTTATGGGGAAGCGGATAAATTTTTCGAGTGTTAAGAATCCAATCGAACTCTACGATCAAAAGATGAGATGCGGGAATCAGATGTTATCGAAAACACGTAAATCATGTGTTTCGTCGATCGTAGATCGATCAATGAGAACGACGAAGAAATTAATTATACGCTTGATAATTTCACAAAAGATTATTGATTTGTTAAATCACGAATAATTTAAAAATTTTTATCTATAAGAAAATACACGCGGTTTCAATTTTTTTCCGAACACTGAAATGAATGTGAAGAATTAGGGAATTATTAAAATCTTGAGAATTATTAAATTTTTGGAACATCAAATTATAAGAAATTCATATATTCAACGTTATATGTAATAAATATAATAATTTCATCAATTACGTATGATAAGATAAAATATTTCTCTCGTCAAGCTTCATGTTAATTATTATAAACAATTTTGATATTTGTATTATCGCTTTGCACACACATTTGTTTTTAATTAATTTAAAGTATGTTTCGATGTTTCCACGAATCAAATTCAAAGATTGATCAAACTTCTTTGATCGCTTCTCTCTTATAATTTATAAAAAAAAATTTCAATTAGATTTAGAACAAAAATTTTGATCGTATCTTATAACGATTATTTAAGATTTAAAAAAATTTCAAAAATTTTCATATCACTCGTCCCTTTTCCTTTTTCGTCCGTTACTATGAGACACTATTCTATTTACATTCATATATACGATATGTATGTATATTGGCATACGTTTTTGTAAAGTTCGTATTTACGCTTCAAGCATTATTATATCTTTGAAAAGAAAAAAATTGTTTACCATGACCTCGAGTTTCTAAGAACGCCAAATGGTTAAAGCGGTTTCATATAATTTTTATTATATTTTTAGTATTGAAATATAAAAATAAAAAGAGATCCGCATATATATTCTCATATATGTACAGAACTGTAATACGCGATTCGAATATTTGATTAAATTAACATGATCTTCTAATTAATGATAATTCAATAGCAAGATACTTTTATTTAAAAATAATTATTTTTAAAATAAATATCAAAATAAGAGCCACTAATTAATTAAAACAATTATTAGTTACATAAATAATAAATAATATTTCATATAACAATAACAAACATATCACGAAATTTTTTTTAGAAATTTCAAATAATATATATCGTTCAATATATCGAGTTTCATATATTTCGATATTCCCTATAGCTATTAACCACAACATATCGTAACGTTAGATTTGATGAAAAATTTTCTATTGATAAACATTAACCGACTATATTCTATTGACAAAAGAGCAAATAAAATGCGCAAAAGACTATTTTATTCTTTACAATAAAGAAGAACCATATTTTCGATTTCTCGATTTACAAGATCGAAAAAACGGAAAAAATTACGAAATTATATCGATCGATTTTAATGAACAATCGATAATAATTATCAAAAAACTCTGGTAAGATATGTATTTACGAATTAAGAATACAAATTCGATACAAAAATAAATGCTTTAATATTATAATTGTATTTAATTCGTTGTTATACACGATATGTTGATAATTAATTTAATGTAATCAAAAATATTTTTCACTTACCTTAAAAAATATGTAACTGCGAAAAACGTAGTTAAACCATGTTTTATTATATTCTAAGATGTCGTATAGTTCTCATAGTTTAAAACTATTCACTAATTGTATCACTTATTGTTCAAGAAGCACAAAAAAAAGTTTGAGATTCAACTCACACGTCACGATGTTACTTCACAGAACGGTATCTATAAACTGAAAGCCGAACGAAGCCACGCGACCGCGAAACTACCCGCCAAGCCGATTGCCCCCGATTTACCCCGAATGAAAACGAAAGCTTACGAATGTCGAACGAACGTAACCGATGCTTTCCGTAATTCTCGTGTGATCTGAAATTAACAAAAAAAGAAAAAAAAGAATAAATAAAGAATATTATTATTTTAGAATAATAATTATCTTTTTTATAATATTTTTCATTATTAAGAAATTAATTATCTTAATTCAAAATATCATTATGATGACAAAATTGATATTTATTTTTATATTGATAATTTTATCAAATATCGAAACATAATATAAAATTTTATAAATTAAATTATAAATTCTACTTTTTTATAAATTAAATTTTAAAATTTTAATAATACCGTATATTTAATTAAAAATATACACATATCATTACATCAAATTATCTATCAAATAATTTTAAAAAACATAATATAATTTTTCTATTTTATTCATTCTCTTTTATTTATTTATTTATTTTTTTTTTTGTTTCAAAACATTCTTAATATAAAGAAAAGAACATTTAACAATATTTAACGTTTATGTTAATGCAATAACATGAGTCTAATTTTAACTATGTGTTCTTAAAAAAGAAAATTACTGTTTCAAAACTCCTCACCTCATTTCTGACCACTAACAATAAGATGAACTTGTACTTCCATGTCATTCCAATAGCATGTCTCTTTTGTTTTCAAATAATATTAATTTTTCTCTGGAACGATTCGTCTTACTGGCCATAGTAGAAATGGCGCAAATAATACAAATTTCGAGGGACATTTGAAATCAGAACAGATGGCGATAGGGAGTCCGCGGTTCTAAGTTCGTAGTGAAAAATGGCCGGCGCCAACGATTGTTTCAGCATCGGGAGTACCGTGGCCTGTAAAACCTGTTACAAGGAGGAGATCGAAGGCGAGGTGCTAGCATTCGATCCACAAACTAAAATGTTAATCCTAAGTATCCTTTTCTTGTAAATTCCCTGAAAGCAACGTTCTTCTTGAAAACTACATGTATGTAGCGCTCATACGACGTTCGTTTAACATTGCCGCAGTGTAAATAACTTTAGAGCTATCTATGATAGGTTTCATGAATTTTAGCAAATGACCGCTAAGCTATGTTTCGCGATTTCACACGGGAAACGTGCAATACCGCTTGTCAATTATTTGATCATCATCTAACCAGCTACACGAAGTCAGGTTAGTTTCGTCATTCAATCAACCATGCTGGATTTTCCGTTCCTTTTTATTGCTCTGCTTATCCGTTCTTAAACGTATTTTCACGCTTCACATAAAAACTTTCACTTTCATTTCTCTCAAGAATCATAAGCAGAAATATTTTCAGTCTAACAGAAAAATTAGAAATTCTTCCTTATAACCTGAGAATTTATTTTATAGCTAAATCCTCTGAAACAGAAATATTTTGAATAAAACTGTATTTAACTTTCATGTTTTATGATAACAACAATTCCTTAACTGATGTTGATCAGAATGTCCGTCATCCAGCGGAGCTCCAGCATTAAACGATGTACACATAGTAAATTTATCCTTGGTATCAGAGGTCCAAGTAAAACGAGAAGTTAGCCCTACTACTAGTGAACCACCACAAAGCCTTAATTTGCAAAAATTGAATAAAAGAGTACGTAATCAAATTGAAGAGAAAAAAAAACTGGTAATGGCTCTGCAGGCCGGAGTATCTCCAGAAGGACAAAAACTCTTCAGTACTATATCAAAGACTATCCCAGAAATTACGTGGAATGGAGCAAATATTGTTGTATTTGACAATGTCACGATTAGACCACCGTATAAAGTTGATAATGTTCACGGAAATACAGAGTCTGGAGCGTATAAGCATGTGAAGAAAGTAGTAAGTATTTTAAAAGATTAAGAAAATGACAATGCATTGTAATATATATATTTTATTATTCTCATAGGTTGAAAAACATATTAAAGATACAGAAGCATCACAACAGGCACAACAACAGCGGGAACAGCAACAACAACAAAAACAAAAAGGAGGTGCGATGCAATAAAATTTCAAAAAGGCACTATACCACAAATAAAGCTACCATGCTTTCACAGAAGTTCCAGTCTTTGAGGAAAAGTAGGAAATGACGATAACAAGATACTAAGAAACAAAAAAAGCCACTGCAAAAGTACTACATAAGCCTATCAAGAAAATCAGCATCACGGATTAAGTTCAAATTTATTTGAATGAAAATGCACTTCACGGGAATCAAGTGCAAATCAATTATTGGAATTTTAAACGAGTACCAAAAATATTAATAATATCGTATGAGCAGCATTTTGTAAATCAATAAAACACACCGTACTCGATTTTTAACAAAGAGCATGATCTTTGATGAAAGATGCTGTTTATTTTATCTAATAAGCTGCCATACAATTTTAGGTTCTACTGGAACTATTGTTCATGTGCTCTGATGCAGGTGTGTTTTAGTTTAGTTTAACATTGTTACAAAATATGTTTAATAGTTGTTTACAGATTATTGATGTATGTACATGATGATAGCATGATTCAATTGCCATATGAGTATCAACTTTTTTAAAATATAAATCGGTCATCGTGGTATAATTTAAGCCCGTATGAAACGGTTCAATATATTTTTAATTATTATCGCAAGTGGAAAAACAAATGATCAACGAAAATTTTCATACGCGATCCATTCGACTTCGATGATTAAAATCTTACGTTCACTCGCTAATTGTAATATCAATTTTTATTAAATCACTCATTATATTATTATTGATCTTTTGAAATTTGTAAAACAAAAAAAAAAAAAAAAAGAAGGAGAAAAAATGTAAACATTGCACTTCATCACGCCTGCGTCGGCACGAGACGTCTTCAGTCACGATACGGCATTGTAAAATGAAGGACATTCCCTTGCATAGAGCAAGTTATAAAATTGTTATTTAAAGAAACATCAACCTTGGTTTATGCAAGGGCAACCTATTCTAATGAATAAACCAGGAATAATTTCATTTACAATGATGGAATACAGAACTCGTCTCGTGCCCTTTACCTTTTGAACGCGGAGAAGATATAAGACAGAAGAAAAAAAAAAGAAAGATTATAAAAATTAATTACATAAAAAGACACAAATAAATGTAATATAAATTCTATTATTAATGTTTTATATTTATTATTCCTTGATACTTCTACTAAAAAAATATACACTATTATCCTACGCTAATTGTGCTATATTATTTCCTATACTAATAAAAAAAATTTCCTATAAAAATAATGCAATTTTTATTCTATATTTTCGTCTAGTTCTTGAATTGTTTCTACAATGTTTGCATTTCGTATAATTGTATTTAAGTCGTGTGTTACACGTGCAATTCGAGCAGCAGCTTTAAACTTAATAGTCATTCGTTGTTTTTCAGTTTTCTTTTTCCACTGAAAAATAAATTAAATAACATATTAGTATTTTATAAAAATATGAAATACTTTTTTTTATTTTCCAAACAAAATATGTATACACGATAAAATTTTTCATTGCTTCAAAAAATGAAACTGCAAGATAGATTTTAAATGTAATTTGAAAAAATAATTTTTTTATCTAATCTATGATTAATTATTATATCCTTGAAATATTTGGAATACGATTATGAATATATTTTTATTTAGAACTATGTAATAAATTTTAATTAATAAATAAATATTTATTATCTTTTTGTTAAGTCTCTAGCACAATATAATATTTAGTTATATTTTAGTACTTTTTTTGTAATGTAGTTGGTATAAAAAAGTAACTAGATTTGAAACTTTCTCTTCTCTTAAAGCAACAACGAGAAAAAGAAAGAAACAAAGAGGAAATCGTGCTTGAGTGTTTTGGGTGAACGTTTTGAGTTTGTTGCAGTATACGCTTGTATTATATGTAGTTTTATATTTTTCATAATCAGACAAAATAAGGTAATTCCGATCACTTTTATCGAAAATTGAACGCATTTTTAATTCCATAAAACGATATATAGAACTATATACGACTAAATTCGACTAAATTCGATTTTGAGCGGGATATTATATTAAACGAAATTTTTACAAAATCGATTGTAAATAAATATATCAGAGATTAAATTTTATCAAATTTATTTGTTTAATCCAGTGGATTTATGAAACATAATAATAATTTTTTCAACAACCTTAATGGTTAATGCGGCAAGTGTTTACTCTAACCTATTTTCTAAAGTTGACAAAACAGTGACGAAATAAAAAAACTTTATATCGAACAATTTGGATCGGAATATTAAAAAAAAGGAATCAAGATAAAAGTCATAAAATCAATGGGAGACAAGAATTGTTCTCCTCTATATACAGTTTCTACAATCTCTTTGAAAACACGTTTTGTTTGTTTACTATGTGTGTGGTGATATTCTCAACTATTTACTTACATCCTCATCACGAGATGGTAAGTTTGCAACATATTCTTTCATATTTTCTTTTTTAGGATCTGCTATGACTAAAACAGAAACACAACCGTCCACTGTTCCAAGAACTATATTTTTACCATCATATGTGCTATCGATAGCACTCAATTCTGTTTGAACTCTGTAATTTGCTATCATTTCACAGTCTGATGATCTATAAATTAGATATATATCAAAGATTTATATATTTTTTTAAAATGTAGCTTTTATATACATTTACCTAAATACACGTATAGTTTTTCTTCCACTGTGGTAATAAAGAACATATTCATCTGTGCGATTGAACATGGATATTACAGTAAATACGCCTTCTGCAACCTTAGGAATATAAGTCTTGATAGTGGTACCTTTTTTCAATTCCAAAAGTTCTAAGCCACCTCTACAATATCAAAGTCATGAAAATTTAATTTTTTTTNTTTTTTTTTTTTTTCAATTTTTTTTCATCACATAACTACCTGCTAGGTGCATATAAAGTATATTTCCCATCTTTGCTAATATTCCCGCTCCATTTAAGAATTGTACGAATAATTTTCTTTTTGTTTATATCCAAAATAATACCTTTATCAGATCCAATAATTCCTACCCAATATGATTTATTTGGCATAGGAGTGATACATAAAATATCCTATTGAAAAAATTATTTATTCTTAAATATAAAAAGTAAATTATATATTGTTTAAATTGATATTCTTACTTTAAATCCCGGTAATCTTATTGGTATTTTATTTATCAATGCTCCTGTATTCGCATTATAAATAACAATACAATCTCTGTTGCCCTTATCGGCTGCAGGAGCAATCAAAAAAGAATTGTCGGAAGTCATCACAACATTTCGAAATGATGTACCTGTATGACTTCTGACTAAGTATTCCAATGTAAACATTGTTTTTCCATCTATTAATTACAAGTAACATCTATTAATCGTTAATCAATTAATATATTTTAATATATTTTAATTGTTAATTAATTTAAAATCTTCAAAAATTCTTTATCCCTCAATCATTAATTATCAATATACCGGGAATAGTTCTCATAAAAAGAGTCGCAGTAGTTTTCATACTTTCAATTCCAGGGGGATTTTTCGGTCTTGAAACGGTTATAAATTTAGATGAATTTTCAAATAACGTTAATTGTCTCACGTGTTGTTGTTCCTCTTTGAATAACACTTGTTCCGTAATTCTATTCCATATCAATACATTACCCGATTCTGTGGAAACAATATATCTGAAAGGAGAAACGTATATCGTAAACGAATTGTAAACACACGAATATGAATATATATATATATATTCATATTATTGTGATAATCCAATTACTAACTTTCCATCGTGAGTTATACAAGCGTGAGTAACAATCGCCCCTAACGGACTATCCGCCAATTTTGAAATCAATCTTCCCGTCTGCAAATCCCAAATTCCTACGCAATCTCTTGTCACTATGGCTGCTATATTACATTCTTCCGCCAAACTTTGAATACAATTGACAAAAAAGAAATTTCGATAAAAATAAAATCGACTTATATCAGGTAAGCGATAAAATTCAATACCTTATCATATCGATTTGTAACTCGTGTCTGTCTATTACGTGAACCTGTTCAAAGATATTGTTTATATTCCATACTTTTACGCTTCTGTCGATACTCGATGTTACGACGCTGTTCCAATTTCCAACAGTCAATGCTTCTAATTGAATAATTCTCGCGAAATGAGCATCCAATATTTTCACCAACTCGCTTGTTTCGAGATTCCAAACGTATAAATTTTTCCTACGGAAAGTGCAATTTTCATTCCATTTCTTTTTTTTTTTTTTTTCGTTTTGTTTTTTCCTGTTAATGCCATTATTAATTTATCGTAATGGTGTAACACACCTTACACCAGCAACGGCGTAATTCTTGGTGCCACTGACCATTATCGAATTGGAATACATCATTTTCGTGCTAATGTTTCGAACTCCGTTCGGCAACGTTAACACATGCGCATCGCTTTTATTTTCTAAAAACCACACGATAAAACCATTGGCAGATGTGGCTAAAAGTATCTCCTCTTCCCTGTCCAATTTCAATTGCAACAAGTATTCGACGTCATCGTTGAAAGCTCTTGGCATATCGAGAACTTTCTCCCATTCGGATGATGTTTCGTCACTTGTGTATTTCGTGACTCGATAGTCGTCCTTACTCGTGCAGGTATATAAAACTTGTTTGTTATTGCTCATAACAATGGCGCTGTAAAATAAATAGTTATAGAAGGCTATGAAATTAATAATTTAATTGTTGATTCACCTATGAAAATATAAAGGATCCAGTGATCTCTTCTTCCTGTAAGTGTGCAAAAGCATATTGGTATCTTCTATGTTTCCAGACCAAAACACTATTCTATATTCATCCAAATTCGTGTGTTCCACACCTGTTCAAAAACACATACATTCTTCCAGAATTTTTTGAATTCTCGAAAACGAAATAATACCGCTATTTCTATCTATTTTACTCACACAAAATTGGCCACTTGTTGGAATCCTCTGGATTCGTGTGCATATCCAACAAGTTTCCTCGCAAATCGAATCTGTACCAACCTAATTTACCGTAGACGAAAAAGAACTGATTCATCAGATGTATCCCGCACACTGGATCTTTATTTGGAAATGGATTATCGATAATTACAAACTCGCTCGTCAGTGTATTCAATACGACGCTCTGTTTAAAAAAAAAAAATCGCGAATTTCAAAGCATCAAAAAATTTGTAAAAAAAAAAAAATAAAAGATCAATCGACATTGGGCTAATTACTTGATTATTAGTCGTAAACGCAGCAGCGTATCTATTGTCAGGGCTCAAAACTAAATGTTGCATAATTCCTTCGATACCGGGATTCACGTCTCTGGTCATGTCGCTGGTGCTCAGATCCCAGGTGATGAATCGGTTTGATATGGAAACGACGTATCGATAATCCGACGTTAAACAAAACCCAAATACAGCGAATTGATGGCCCTCCAAAGAATACTGAAAGGTTGAAAGGCTCGTCAAAAGTTTAAAAGAAATTATTTCTCCGTTTTATTTCGTCCAATTACTTTCAACGGCCCTCCAGGAGTGTGTAGACAGTGATAAACCGGAAGTAGAGCGCAATCCTTTACGCCGTCGTTATCACACGCTCGTAGCAACATTTTCACGTTCACGTTCCCACCTATTTCTGGCAATAATCGACCTATTAGTTGAGGTGCCAGCATATCTGGATGCGATCCTAAAATTGCACCACCTAATCTAAGCGCATCCGCTACCAGCATCAGCTCTCTGGAACGGATCTTTATTTTAGTAGGAACATCTCAACTTTCTCTTCGTTTCCAATAATATTATATTCTTCAGTTGAATTACCTAACGATGTTTTGATTATCGATGAAATTGTACGCGTCCTCGAAATCCGAAAGCACGGCTTGTAACGGACATGAACTCAGTTTCGCATGTAGCCATTCATAATTGAACAAAACGTTTTCGAACAAATCGTCGAAACGTCGCGATCTGACCAAGTGAAAGGGTAATTCGCCGAACTAATAATTCAAATTCGAATTAACCTTGTTTTCTTCAAAAGAAAAAAAAAAAAAAGAAATATTTTCATTCATGGTATACCTTTCTTAAATTGTATCTACTAATTGTTCCTTCCTTCGAATAAAATGCTAAAGGTTGTTCAGGTACTTTTCTGTCTGCCACTCCTTCCTTATCCGTCAAATTGAATCTATTAAAAGTCAATTCAATAGAGTCGAATCGTAACAATCTTCGAGAATCTTTTGAAAAAAAAAAAAAAAAAAAATCAACAGTTCACCTGTGCCTCTGAATTTCGGTATATTAAACGGTTCGGTCGACCGCCCCCCCAAATGCCAAGATAGTAATCGGCGATCATGGAATGGAAATACATGGCCATGTTCATATTTTTGAAGTATCTCTCCTTGGCTGTGTCCCTGAATTGTCTATGATACCAATTGAGAACACTGACACCGTCGGCTTCCCTTTCGCTCAAATAATTAGGCAAATCGTTTCGTATCCTGGTCCAAAGCAGTGGCGGGATCCTTCTTACCGGAGGTAAATGGTATTGATACACGTCGTCCAACACTTTATCGTCCAACGAAATCAGATCTTCGAGCTCGGACTCGGACAATCCCGACTTGGCCGCGGTGATGTAAGCAAGTGCGTGGAACACAAGAATTTTTCCATGCTGCTTCTCTATTCTTTCGAACAGCATCATTATACTGTCCATCACGGTGCAAGTCAAATGGGTATCCGCCGGTTTCGTGTAGCTTCTCCATCTGCAAATTTCTGCAAACACCAATTTCACGAAGATCGGTAAGGAGCACTTGGATATGGCGTTCGCCACGAGACGCCATTGATAATTGTTTAGATCTCTGTGAGCCGTTTTCATCCACATCCTGTGAAAGTCAGATTTACAATTGTTTACGAACGTTGAAGAAATATTTCGATCACTCGATTCTCGGCCTACCTAATCACCTCCATGGCAAGATCTTCGCCAAGGGCGACCACTTCGATGAAGTTTTCCTCTACGTCTATCATTCTTCGTAATAATTGGTAATCTCGAGAGATGACGGGGTTCGATTCTTCGGCAACGCAGGAAGGATCATCTAGAAAAATCCTTGATCATTATTTAATAGAATTTCAATTGCTTTTTTTTTTTTTTTTTTGTATCAGTATCGCACCTTGCAATTCAACGGAAGTCTGGTAGGTAACCAAGACAATTTGTTTCCCTGAACCCCGGTTAATTGATCGACACTGTCGAGGAATAATAAAATCGGTTGCTCGGTTGTAGCTAGTGTCAACAGATGCTTAAAGTAAGCGGTTAGCGGTACCAAATCGTCAGGAATTTCATCGAAGGGTAACATGAAGTTATAGGAGATCTATAAAAGAACATCTTTATCATTTCGTCGCTCGAGTATTATTTACAATTTATATCACGGTAGGACAATCGTTCGACTACTCGCTTGTTGACAAATAGAAATTAACGTTGGTGTCAATGCACTGCTGTCCGGTGTCGTGCCAAGAAATCGAATTATGTTGATTGGCTTTTTCCCAATTAGCCACGTGCTACTCGTCAATCCTGCGCTCTTTGCTAACAAAGATGTTTTCCCGCATCCACCTTCTCCGTAGAGCACCAAAGGTTTGTCACTGTCGCCCAACATGTGCTCTTTAATCTTCTCCAGAGTGTCTTCTCGGCCATAAAAAACCTGGCAATGTTTTAATTTCACGTTTTACTTCTAACTTGCGATTAATTCTTTTTCTGATAAAACTTTTACCTTCACCGAATTGTTACACGCGTGCAAATGTTGCAAAATTTCTGTTATGATTTGCCCTTGCGCGGAGCTATCCTCTTTTCTCATAGCACGATCCACCAATTTTATTATATTTCTGTAGAAATGCGTTATGAAATGCTGAAGATACTCGCTATGGGTTTCCGGATCGAGACCTTCTCGTCCAATCCATTCTACCGTGTATACTTAAAAAAAAAAAAAAAATAAAAGTTTGAAAGTGAAATTACGTTCCTCTTCGAGAAAAGAAAGTTACCTTTGCAAATTTATGGTCTCGATCTTTTGTGGAAGTCTTTCGTCCCTTAAATTTGCCAACAATTTGGAAGCCTCGTTATCTAAACCTCTATTAACGATATCCAAGAACAAACTGGCTTTCCTCAAATTTTGCAGATTAATGTTATTTATATATCGTATGTACGCCAGACAATGATTTTTCGTATTTTTCACGTTCAAGATACCGTTAATCACTTCCCTCTCGGTAACTATTTCGAAAAATAAAAATTAATAATTATTGCGATATACATATCTTCTCTCCTTTCTACCTGACATAAAATAATTGTGCATAGTATCTTTGTCAAATTTTCCAGAGTTGTATAAAGATTGCGCCCCTTTTCGAAATAGCTTTTGCATTTTAACCATAGTGTCCCACCAAATGGCCTGATCCTCTTGCTGCAGCTTTGGTATTCTCTGAATTATGGAAAAGATTATGTTGTAAAGTTAATCCGATTCTGTGAAATATGTTTGCAATACATAGTAGAGAACACTCGTTTACTTTATTGTTAAAATTTTTCAAGATCGAGGATATTGGTTGTAGTATACTCGTCGGAGGAACCGCGTTGCTGTCCTTTTTATACCATTTATCCAAAAGACCGACGTCCATCCCTTGACCTTCCAATTCTGTCCTTAACATTTCTAGCTCCGAACTGAGAACATACGTTGGAATAGGACGATAACCATATTTCTGTCCAAGGAATACCTTAAATGAATTTTAAAACAATGTCTCGTATCTCATTTTCAAAAATTTAATTTTTCAAATTTCGATTTATATTTTTTTTTTTCGAATTTATATTTTTATATTATTATACCACGAAGTTTGGACCCATTGAGAGCCTCTGACAATTTTCTATCTCCCTCATGCACAGCTCCGTGGTCATGTGATCGTCAGTGGCCTCGTCTCGTACACCCCATCTCATATCAACCACCTGGAATTGCATTTCTTATATAACGGAATCAATTCGTTCTTTCCCCGATTACATTTTCCTCCATTTAAATTTAAATCTTATCAAACGAGAAAACTTGTCCGTTCGTACAGCGGAAAAGTTTAACGGGGATGAATTCGTGCCTGGTACGATAGAAATCAATTATTCATTCAAGGTCGACAATCCTATGCTTATATAACATAGATTTTGACATCTGTATACGTACGATTTAACAAATAACATCGATCAAATGTAAGACGCAAAAGAAAAAAAAAAAAATCTTAAAATTTTCACAATTATCATCTCCTGAATTATAATCTATGCGAATCTCATAATTAATTATTCCTAACGATTACCTGAAATTCCAACCCGTGCTTTTCCCTGCAATAATCCTTAAGCTTTGGATAACACTGTGCCATCAACGTGTTCCTTTCCATCGTCGTATCTGAATCAAAATACTAAGGTTGCATAAGGGAAAAACGATATATAATTATTATTTCAACGTACCGGTGAATGTGGAGCTCGTAAATATTCTGACGATTTTCGAGCTAACGGCCGGCAAGGATTTTAAAGATCCCGCGAAGATCGAGTCAATAGTAGTTTCGTCCATTTCTTTATTTCCACGTTATTTCTCTTCGATTCTTTTCGAATCGAATCTTCTTTTATCTATCTTTTATCAATCCCGATTTCAAGTCAAGTTGCCGGCAACATTGCAAGGATACTGAGACCGTATCCGTGTTTCGACCAACATTTATAGTCTGTGAACATATATTTCTTCACCCCTGACATGTCCACGTACGCTTCGTCCTCGAATCACGATCAACACCCTCTGCACCCTTTTTTATAAATTTGAATTGTATTGTTTCGCGAATGTGTTTAAAAAATTAATCGAAACAAAGTAACTAATTCCTTGGACCTTTAATTATTAAAGTGGACGACGGGGAAACGTATAAGTCGTTGCCAAGGATTGTTTGTACCGCGTAAGATGTTCCTCATTGATTTCGCGGCGGTAGAAAGATTCCGAATCGATTCGTTTTTTCTTTTTTTTTTTTTTTTCTTCTTTTTAATTTAAAATCTTCCTCGTGAAGCTTATCGCGATCTATTCCAATTCGTTTTGTGAAGAGAAAGAAGAAAATATTGAAATTGGATTATTTTTGCAGATTTTTTAATGGACCAAATTTAACATAAAATACTCGAATACTTTCAATTAAACGATCAAAATGGCGCCGCCAGATCCAGTGACGCAAATGAATACGTACAAATCGTACGTAACGATGCTGGCCGATCCAGTTTCCAAGGATGAATTGAAACTGAAGGCCGCTCAAGAATTGTCGGAAAATTTTGAGGTATTGTTTCGACTCGACGATTTTAAAATTTATATTTTATTCAAATGATGGAGCATTGTTTCACATGTAATATTGATTGTATATTCTCGATCGTTTTAAATCATTACAGGTCATTATGTGCTCCTCGCAATATCCGGCATTTCTTGATCACATGATGAAAATTTTCTTGAAGATACTACAAGACGGCGAGCCGCATTTTATATCGGAGTACAACATCCAACAAGTTAGAAAATTGATTTTGGAAATGATACACAGATTACCTAGCAACGATTATCTACGCCCGTACGTGAAACAGATCCTAAGTTTGATGTCTAAATTATTAGAGACCGATAACGAGGAGAACGTGTTGGTCTGTCTAAGGATCATCATCGAGCTGCACAAACAGTACAAGCCGACTTTTAATCCGGAAGTGAGTATAATGTTTTATTAAAAATTGAAGAAATATTATTTCGAATATATTTCGAATATATCTTTGGAAAATTTATATGATAAACCTTTGTCTTCTCCCCTATCCAGATACAATATTTTTTGCAATTCGTTAAATCGGTGTACAGCGAGTTACCAAATAATTTGCCAAAAATATTTGAGCCTCGATCACCTCTGAGAGTGAGAGATTTATCGGAAATAAATATAGAGGCACTTTTGAAAGAAACGTTCACGATCACGGCTATACAAAGTGAGAAAAGGGCGGCGGATGGCACTCTTATCACCGTAAGTATCGAACTGCTCTATCGCTCGTAAACTCGAATAATAGTGGAATAATTGGTTAAATAAATATTAAAAAAAAAAAAAAAAAAAAAAAACTGTTGCAGTACAATTTGATTCCCAAGGCGGTGCTGTCTCTCAAGGTGCTTCAAGAGTTGCCAATCATAGTTGTGCTTATGAATCAATTGTACAAACCAAACGTGACTCAGGATGTCTCCGATTTTATCCCCCTCGTGATAACCACTATAACTCTGCAACCGAGTCCTCAACATCGAGCATCCCCTGGATTCAATAAAGAGGTTTTCGTTGACTTTATGGGGGCCCAGATCAAAACATTGTCGTTTCTGGCGTACATTATCAGGAATTATCAAGATGTCGTCTCTCAACACAGCTCGATATTGGTGAAAGGTATATTAGGTTTATACACGTTATGCCCCATGGAGGTGGCCCATCTACGAAAGGAGCTGGTGATCGCGTCCAGGCATATATTGGCCACGGATCTTCGAAATAAGTTTATACCCCACATGGAATGTTTATTCGACGAAGATATATTTATCGGACGAGGCTGGACCACCCACGAATCCTTGAGACCTCTGGCGTTTTCCACGCTCGCGGACTTGGTTCACCACGTTAGGCTATATTTGCCGTTGAGCGACGTGTCCAAGGCGGCGCATCTCTACAGCAAAAATCTGTTGGATCAAAGCCTTCCCACGACTGTACAAATGGTCTCGTGTAAATTGTTGATGAATCTGGTGGACACTGTGAGGCAAAGATCCGACGCCGAGAATAGCACTCAGGGCAGAGAGCTGTTGATGCGAATCCTTTTGGTGTTTGTTTTAAAATTTAAGACGATAGCGAAAATTTATATACCGATCTTGCGTAACAAAGCTAAACAAATGACCCCTCCCGGATTGGACGCCAAGGCGGAAGATGTTAAACCGCTTGTACCTGACTTGAACGAGGAGAAGGAGAGCGGAAAATCGAAATTCGGTTTTCCCTCGTCTCAAGCTATGAGCTACAACGTTGTTGATTATAGGAATTTGGTGAAGAATTTGGTGCACGGGGCGAAGGCCATCACGGCCAACTATATCAACAGCAAAACCGGAGAAGTGACGCAGTCTAATCAATTTCAAACGAAAGAGACATTGGTTTATATCAAATTGGTGAAATGGGCGTTGCCGGCGTTGGATATTTACACGATAGGCCCTCCCACGATTGGAGCTGTCGCGCAACAGGGTAGGCCGGCCCAGTCCCAAACGATACGGACGAGGGAAGAGAAGGAGGTGTTGGAACTTTTCGGGAACGTTTTCACCCAGATGAACCCGCAGACATTCCAGGAAATATTCTCGACCTCGATCGACTACATGGTCGAGAGGATCTTCAAGAATTGCGCGTTGCAAATAATCGGAAGTGCCTTTCTGTCTAGCCCCACGATATCATCCACTTTTGCAACGATACTGGTCGAATATTTATTGGAGAGGATGGGTGACATGGGATCGAACGTGGAAAGGAGCAATTTGTACTTAAGACTCTTTAAATTAGTATTCGGTAGCGTGTCGCTTTTCCCGGCCGAGAACGAGCACATGCTCAGGCCGCATTTGAATCAGATCGTGAATCGAGCCATAGAATTGGCCATGTCGGCCAAGGAACCGTACAATTACTTCCTTCTGTTGAGAGCTCTCTTCAGATCTATCGGCGGTGGCTCTCACGATCTTTTGTATCAAGAATTTTTACCTCTGCTTCCGAACATGTTGGAAGGTTTGAACAGATTGCAGTCTGGTTTACATAGACAACATATGAAAGATTTGTTCGTGGAATTGTGTTTAACGGTACCTGTGAGACTTAGTTCCCTTCTACCATATTTACCCATGCTGATGGACCCTTTGGTTTCGGCATTGAACGGAAGTTACTGCTTGGTGAGCCAAGGATTACGAACCCTCGAACTTTGCGTGGATAATCTTCAGCCTGACTTTTTGTATGAGCACATACAACCTGTCCGAGCCGATTTGATGCAGGCATTGTGGAGAACGTTACATAATCCTACCGACCAAGCACACGTGGCTTTTCGAGTTCTGGGCAAATTTGGTGGTGGAAATCGAAAAATGATGATCGAGCCGCAAAAACTGGAATACAACGATCGCGAGACCAATTCTCCAGCTATCGTCGTCTATTTCCAGGAACCAACGAAACCCATAGATTTTCCTGTGGAAAAGGTAATCGAGACTGCGTTCAACGCCCTAAAGTCCAACAACACGGATTCGTTTTACCGCAGGCAATGCTGGGAAGTGATCAGCTGCTATTTGGCCGCGTCGTTGCGTTTGGACGACAGCAACGCCATATTGCAAAAATTGTTCCTACATCCAAGTTTCAAAGAGAGTAAAATTTCGCACCAACGGGGCCCCCATTACCAATGCCCGGACACCGTGGCGAGAAACGTTCAGCAAACGGCTCTTACCGGATTGTTCGTCGCTGCGGAGATCAAGGAATTGAGGCATTCGGTATTGGGCACCGTGGTGTCGATCGTGAGACATTACACCATGGTGGCGATAGCGCAACAAGCCGGCCCATTCTGCCTTACGGGAAGGCAGATACGCATGCAAGGACAAGATCCCCTCGTGTTGATCGATGCCCTGGCAGTGATCATGGGCCACGAGGAGAAAGAATTGTACAAGTCCGGGCATTTGGCCCTTGTCTTGATCCTAGAAACCGCGACCAACATTCTCGGGTCGAAGGAACGAGCCTGCCAATTGCCCCTGATGGAATATTTGGCGGAGAAGATGTGCTCCCTTTGCTACGAGCGTGCCTGGTACGCCAAATTGGGAGGGTGCATCGCCATCAAGTTTCTTTTCGAAAGAATGGCGACCAAGTGGGTGCTGAATCACCTGTTCGTGTTCCTAAAAGCTCTGATGTTCGTGATGATGGATCTCACGGAAGAGGTGTCGAACGGCGCCATAGACATGGCGAAGGCAAACTTGGAGAAGATGTTGAGGGTTTGCGTGAACCCGGGGATTCAAGATGGGAACACAGAGCTTATCGAGGCGCAGAACAAAAGTTTGTACGAGGTTACTCACGAGTTGGTGAGGCAAGTAACTTCGCCGCACACGTTGGTTCGAGAACAGGCCATGTCTTCGTTAAGATTGCTCGCCGAGATACAAAATAAAACGGTTACCGAGGTGATGGAACCGCACAAAGAGGTGTTGGCCGACATGATCCGCCTAAGAACATTTGCTGAGACATCAACCGGCCAACGCTCAGATCGGTTTGATAGATGGGAACACATTTTGCACAACGCTGAATCCTCGTCTCTTCACGATCGATTTAACGGAGCACGATGTGTTCTTTCAAGAGCTGTTGGCGCTCAGCGAGGCAGAGGACGCCAATCTGAATAAACTGCCTTGCTACAAATCCGTCTCGAATCTGATCCCTCTCAGGAAATCAGCTTTGAGAGCTTTGGCCGCCTGCCATTATATCGTAACCTGTCGCGAAAGGATATTCGGCGTTTTGTACAAAGCTTTGGAAAAACCGAACGCGGAGCTCCAAGAAGCGGCGTTCGAATGCATGCAGAAATTCATAGCCGGTTTCCAAATCGACATGCAGTCCGTCCACGCGATTATGAGGCCTATGCTGTTGACTCTGGGCGACCATAGGAATCTTAGCCTCAACTGCGTCAAGAGGCTCTCGTATTTGACCCAATTATTTCCAAGCACGTTCAGCACCGCCCTCTGCGAACAGCTTTTGCAACATTTGAAGAAATTGTTGGAGAATTTAATTCAAGCGCACAAGGGTATATCGAAGTCTGGCGAGAACGAGCAGAAGATAGCTACGATTATAGGAATATTTCACGAAATTCCCGCCGCGACCCCTATATTCATCGATATTTTGTGCAGGCTCGTATTGCAACGGAAAAATCGCTAATGGTCGAGGTGTCCAGCCCGTTTCGAATCCCCCTGATGAAGTTCTTGCTTCGATATCCCACGGAGACGCTCAATTTATTTTTACTCGATAACAATATCAAGGATCAACAATGGAGCAGATACTTGGAGTTTCTCGTTAAACAGAAAGATGGAAAACCGTTCCGCGATGTGTTGCACGGCAGCACGACGAGATTGATAACCATGCTTCTCGCCCATTCGCAAACCAATTCGAACTTGAGCCATAGCGAGAAGAGCGAGTTGCAACATCAAGCCATCAAGATTATCGCTATTCTGATTAAATTCGACGAGCAATGGTTGTCGACGCAGAGCCAATTGGTAGGCGCGTTGAAGCAAATTTGGTGCAACGACGAGTACCACGCTTTGCAGAAGAAAGTGGAGAGCGTGGAGTATTGTCATTGGAAGGAGCCGAAGCTAATCGTAAAGATCTTGTTGCACTATTTCCGCCACCATCCCAACGATATAGACTTGTTGTTTCAATTATTGAGGGCGACTTGCGACAGATTTATGCCCGATTTCCAATTCTTGCGAGATTTCTTGGAGCACACGGTGGCCCAGGAATACACGGTCGAGTGGAAGAGAAGCGCTTTCTTCAGATTCGTCGATCATTTTCCCACGACCAATTTGTCTCAAGAATTAAAAGCGAATGTTTTGCAACTAATCATAATTCCCTGTTTCGCGGTGAGTTTCGAGCGAGGTGAGGGTACGAAGTTGATCGGAGGAGCGCCGATGCCGTATCAGGACAACCCGGAGAACGTTGTCTCCGTGTTCATCAGCAAAATCATCGATCCGGACAATCCATTCGGTTCCGCGGATTGCGTCCGTATCTCGTTGCTTCAATTCTCTTGTCTCTTGGTGGAACAAGCTTCTCAGCATATTCACGATGTCAGCAACAAGAGGCAAGGTAATAAGTTGCGAAGATTGATGACTTTTGCGTGGCCCTGTCTTCTAGGCAAAAATTGCGTCGATCCGACCACGAGGTACCACGGCCACTTGCTTCTCAGCCACATAATCGCCAAGTTCGCTATCCACAAGAGGATAGTCCTTCAAGTGTTCCATAGCCTGTTGAAGGCACACGCGTTAGACGCGAAAAACGTGGTTAGACAAGCACTCGAGATCTTGACACCCGCTATGCCCGTCAGAATGGAGGATGGTAACACGATGTTGACGCATTGGACGAAGAAGATCATCGTGGAAGAGGGGCACTCTATGCAACAGTTGCTTCACATTCTTCATCTGGTAGTTAGACATTACAAAGTGTATTATCCTGTCAGGCATCATTTGGTTCAGCACATAGTGAACTCGATTCCGAGGCTAGGATTCAGTCCAACTGCCACGATAGAGCACAGAAGATTGGCCGTCGAGTTGGCGGAAGTGATCATCAAATGGGAATTGCACAGGATCAAAGACGAAGCGGAGAATAACGAATCGGGTGGTACGAAAGCGGCCGGATCCGTGAAACGACTTGTGACCGAGGATTCAGCTGGAAATAAACGTATGAGTAGTCAAACGGCGGCAGGAAGTAACACGGTTCCGGTCATCTTGCCCAGGATGGAGCCCGGCTCGACGAAACCCATCGAGAGGGCTCACGCCGACGCGATCTTAAATTTTCTGCTTCGACTTGCTTGCCAAGTGAACGATGTTAACACCCTTCATGGAAATCCAGGTGAACAACTCGCGAGACGTTGCGTCGCTTTGCTGAAAATGGCTTTGAAACCTGACGTTTGGCCGCAATCGTGTGACCTGAAGCTGGCCTGGTTGGACAAAGTGCTGGCCAGCGTCGGCAGCGCCGAACCCAACTACGGTAACATCTCCACAGCTCTGGAAGTGTTAACATTTTTATTGGGCGTGATGAAGAGGGAACAGATTTTGGCAGGCTTCAAACCATTGCAACGTGGAATAGGTGCTTGTATAGCGAGCAGCAACACCAAAGTTATTCGACTAGTTCACGGTTTATTATCCCGTTTGATGACCATCTTTCCGGCCGAACCAACTTCCTCCACAGTTGCCTCCAAATACGAAGAATTGGACACTTTATACACCACCGTCGGTAAATTTATCGTGGATGGTTTGACGACTTACGAGAAGAACACCACGGCTACTCCGAGCACGTTGTTCGGCACTTTGATGATGTTGAAGGCCGCCTGTACGAACAATCCGAGCTACATCGATCGATTGATAACTCCCTTTATGAGGGTTCTTCACAGAATGGCCAAGGACCATTTGCATTCGGCTCAAGCGGAGACGAATCCAGTTGGTAGCGAGTTGTTGATCTTGAGTCTTGATCTCGTGAAGAATCGGGTAGTGGTGATGGGCGTGGAAATGAGGAAGACGTTCATAGGCTCGATTCTAGTCGGTTTGATCGAGAAAACTCAAGATATAAAGGTGATGAAAGCTATCACGAAGATGCTCGAAGAATGGATGAAGAATAAAAATCCTATCGCGATAAATCAAGCGCCCAGCCTGCGTGAGAAGTCGATACTTTTAGTCAAAATGATGCAGTACGTGGAAAAGCGTTTCCCCGATGATTTAGAGTTGAACAGGCAATTTTTAGAACTGGTCAATTACATATACAGAGATGAAACCCTCAAGTCATCCGAATTAACGTCGAAATTGGAGCCCGCTTTCCTATCCGGCTTAAGATGCGTTCAACCTCAGATACGAGCGAAATTCTTCGAGGTGTTCGATGGATCGATGAGGAGGCGACTTCACGACAGGCTTCTGTACATTATCTGCAGCCAAAGTTGGGACGCGATAGGTCCTCACTACTGGATCAAACAGTGCATTGAATTACTTCTCGTCACCGCTAGCTCAACCACTCAGATACAAATGTCGAATCAGGATACTTTGCTACCGAGCATAACTTCTGTCATAAATATGGCCGACAGCGAGGAGCACAAGAATTTTATGATATACAGCTCGATAAAGGAGGAGCCTCAGGACATCTCGGAAGCGGCTGACGTGAAAGATGAAATATTGGATATGGACTTGTCCAACATAGACTCGACCACCGTTCCAGAAGAGATCATCACCACTGGGAAGGCAACGCTGACGCAGTTAATCGCCAAGCAAGGTGAATTCATAGAATACGCGAAAAAGATCAGAACGGAACAATTGCTATTGGCTACCGCGCAACTTTGCCACATGGACACAAATCTGGCGGAACGCGTTTGGTTGGATACCTTTCCAAGGATTTGGAACATCTTGGACGAGCATCAGCACAACACCTTGATAGCGGAAATGGTGCCGTTTATTTGCAGTGGTACACACGTCATTCAAAAGGATTGTCATCCCAGTGCTATAGCTACCTTCGTCGAAGCACTTTCGCACTGCAATCCTTCGGTACCTATCAGACCAGCTTTAATGAAATATCTAGGAAGATCGCACAATCTTTGGCACAGGATGACTCTGAGCTTGGAACAAATGGCATTCGACAATGGAAACAATCAGTTTAAAATTAAAAGAGAATCGGATTGCTACGATTTCGAACCTGACAATAGTCCTCACGCCGAGATCTTGGATTCTCTGTCCGACATGTACTCTTTGTTATACGAGGAAGACATGTGGTCCGGTCTCTGGCAAAAACACGCTCACTACAAGGAAACTTTGCAGGCAACTGCATTAGAACAACAAGGATTCTTCGAACAAGCTCAAGGAGCTTACGACGTGGCGATGACAAAGTTCAAACAGGATTACGTATCTACGCCTGCTCCCTTCAAAATACAACGAGAAGCGATGCTCTGGGAACAACATTGGATAAGATGTGCAAAAGAGTTGAATCAATGGGATTTGCTTTTAGATTATGGTAGCAAAAAGGCAGAGAAGAATCCCTTCTTGATCTTGGAGAGCTCTTGGCGTATTCCCAATTGGACGATGATGAAGGAAGCTCTTGCTCAAGTGGAACACAATTGTCCAAAGGAAATGGCGTGGAAGGTAAACGCATCTTCTTTTCTTCATCAAATAAATTAAATTATTGTTTTCCTTTTTGTTCACACAATTGAATTTTTACAGGTGAATCTTTATCGAGGCTTCTTGGCAATATGCAACAGCGAGGATCAACATTTAAATGCAGTGGAACGATATGTAGAGCTTGCATCCGGTTTATGCATGCGTGAATGGCGTAGATTACCTCATATCGTGAGCCATGTGCATTTACCGCTATTGCAAGCCGCCCAACAAATTATGGAGCTTCAAGAAGCGATGCAGATTCATCAAGGTTTATTACACGGAAGAAGCACGTCGTTGCACGATATGAAAGCTATCGTGAAAACATGGAGGAATCGATTGCCCGTAATAGCCGATGATTTGAGTCACTGGTCAGATATTTTCACCTGGCGACAACATCATTACACGTTTATATCAAGCCACTATGACTCGCAACAAGATCAAACGTCCAATCACTCGATGCTCGGTGTTCACGCTTCCGTCCAGGCGATTATTCATTTCGGCAAAATAGCTAGGAAACATAATCTTTGCGGTGTATGCCTGGATTCTTTGTCGCGAATCTATACGATACCCAGTGTGCCTATAGTTGATTGCTTTCAAAAAATCCGGCAACAAGTAAAGTGTTATCTACAAATGGCATCGGTTAGCGGGAAAAACGAGTTACAAGAGGGATTGGAGGTGATCGAGTCGACGAATCTGCGATATTTTACTAAGGAAATGACCGCAGAATTCTACGCTTTGAAAGGAATGCTGTTGTCGCAGATAGGTAGATCTGACGACGCTAACAAAGCCTTCTCAGCCGCTGTTCAATTGCACGACACATTAGTGAAAGCTTGGGCTCTATGGGGTGATTATCTGGAGCACATATTCACACGTGATGCACGTCAGATTTCTATTGGAATCTCTGCCATCACTTGCTTCCTTCATGCCTGTAGACATCAAAACGAATCCAAATCTAGAAAATATTTGGCCAAAGTCCTGTGGCTGCTTACTTATGACGATGATAAATTCTCTTTAATGGAAGCTGTGGACAAATACGCTGTAGGCGTTCCCCCAATTCAATGGTTACCCTGGATACCTCAATTACTGATGTGTTTGGTCAGACACGAAGGAAATGTCATCCTAAATTTATTAAGCCAAGTTGGAAGAATGTTTCCACAAGCTGTGTACTTCTCCATTAGAACTCTCTATCTTACGTTAAAGATTGAACAACGTGAAAGATATAAGAGTGCAGAATTAGCTGCTGGAAAGAATCAGGAAGGTGTGGAAGGCCGTGGAGCTGCAGGAAATGTGCAGCAACAAGGAGTACCTGAAACGGGACCAATTCGAGCCACACCGCCTATGTGGAGGTGCTCGAAGATCATGCATATGCAAAGAGATATTCATCCTACTATTTTGTCTAGTTTGGAAGGCATTGTAGACCAAGTTAGTTACTTATATAAATTACATTCTCTCTATATCACTACAAGTGGATTAAAAAACGAATAAGAATAATTAATTAAATTATTTCAGATGGTCTGGTTCCGAGAAACTTGGTATGAAGAAGTCCTAAGACAATTGAGACAAGGTCTAGCCAAATGTTATGCCATAGCTTATGAAAATCGTGGCGCTGTAAGCGAAGCAACCATAACTCCACATACATTGAATTTTGTGAAGAAATTAGTCTCTACTTTCGGTATAGGAATTGGTAAGTTTCGATATCAAATTTTTCTATTTTCAAGTTTAAATACTAGAATCTGTTAAAGAAGAATTTTTCAAATATTAAATTTCTAGAAAATATATCCTCCTCTCAAAATGTGAACAACACGTTCGGCTCGGCGGCTTCAGAGTCTCTGGCACGCAGAGCTCAGGCTACCGTCCAAGATCCCGTTTTCCAAAAGATGAAAGGTCAATTCAAAAGCGATTTCGATTTCACTGTACCTGGAGCGAGATTACTTCACAATTTAATCAGCAAGTTGAAGAAATGGATCAAGATTCTCGAAGGAAAAACGAAACAATTACCGAAGTAAGTATCGTTTTGTTCACAAATCAATCTTTCACAAATCTTTTAAAATAAATTTAAACCGTGATTTATATCGATATATTGAACAGGTCTTTTTTGATCGAAGAAAAGTGTCGATTTCTTAGCAACTTCAGCTTGAAAACTGCCGAGGTAGAACTTCCTGGCGAATTTCTATTACCTAAACACTCTCATTACTACGTAAGAATAGCCAGATTCATGCCAAGAGTTGAAGTTGTTCAACGACACAATACAGCAGCTAGAAGATTAAGAATTCGTGGACACAATGGACGTTTGTACCCTTATTTAGTGGTCAACGATGCCGGACTAGGTGATGCGAGACGCGAAGAACGCGTTCTACAACTCTTGCGAATGTTGAATCACTATTTGGCTAAACAAAAAGAGACCTCAAGAAGATTCTTACACTTCACTGTTCCTCGTGTAGTCGCAGTTTCACCACAAATGCGATTAGTCGAGGATAATCCTGCTTCCATCTCTTTACTAGACATTTACAAACAAGGCTGTGCGAAATTAGGTATAGAACATGATGCGCCTATAGCTAGATATTACGATAGATTAGCAACAGTACAAGCTAGAGGTGCACAAGCGAGTCATCAAGTTTTAAGGGACATATTGAAAGAAGTGCAGACAACAATGGTTGCCAAGACCATGCTTAGAGATTGGGCGATGAAAACATTCCCTGGTGCAACGGATTATTGGACTTTCAGAAAAATGGTAATATACTCCTCGTATGCACTGAAGAATTATTATTGTATAAATTGCTTCATTTATTTCTGCATTTTACAGTTCACTCTACAACTTTCTTTGACTTGTTTTGCGGAGTATGTGCTTCATCTAACAAGATTGAATCCAGACATGATGTATGTGCATCAGGATTCAGGACTGATCAATATTGCTTATTTCAAGTTCGACGTTGATGATACATCCGGTGAATTGGATGCAAACAGACCAGTTCCCTTCCGATTGACACCAAACATTTTAGAATTTCTTACCAGTACAGGTACGTGATTTATATTATTTATATTATTATTGTTATATTTATAAATATTATAAAATATTGTTCTTAAAAAATCACTTTTAATATACAGGTGTCTCCGGACCACTAACTGCGAGTGCTATTGCTACAGCTCGTTGTTTAGTTCAACCATCTTTTAAAGTACACACGATTCTTCGTGCAATTTTACGAGATGAAGTAATTGCGGATCATAATAAGAAACAAGAAGATGCTGAAAGTTCGTCACAAACTCCAACGGATATGAAAGGTGAACTTTTAATAACGATGGTCACTCGAGCAGTTAATGCAATCGTTGGAAGATTGAATTCTTTGGCCAATTTTGATGGAACGGATAGTAAAGTCAGTACTCTGGTCGCAGCAGCCAATAGTCACGATAATTTATGCAGAATGGATCCGTCTTGGCATCCATGGTTGTAACCACGTTTTCTTAGGAACTACTCGTGCTTCCAATGTGAAAAAATATAGAAAAATTGATGCATATGATTGATGCAAATTGATGCATTTCTCGCAGAAATCATATGCAAAAGTTGTATTATTATTTTTATTTTCAATTGCGAGATTATTTGATTTTAATCGTAAGAAACATTATAATCATTAACTTTAAACTTTATATTTGTACGATTTTTGCTTGAATTTCAATTATTTTATTTTATAATTATTTTAATCTTATATATAACTTTAGTCTTGAGTGTTATAAGTCATGTAAATATTATGTAGGAACATAAGAAACTATTTTCAAAATGTGACATCTACTGATTCAGTCAGAATGAATCATTGAGTTATTTTAATCATTTGTTCTCTTGTACGACACAACACATGTTTATATCGTGTAAAAATTCTCACCTTGGGAATGTTTCACCTGTATCATTTATTGTATATACTATTTTTAAATGTAAGAGTTATTTACAGTGACTTATCAAAAAGTGTTTATAAGTCTGAAAGAGGAAAAGAAAGAGAAATAAACTATCCAAAACAATTACCTTTTCTCAATTCTGTAGTTAATTCTTTCACATCCCATTTCACATCAATTGGAAAAAAAGAAAATATTTAAATTAATTTCCTATTAAATTCATGTATTTGAAAATAATTATACAATCAATATCTCACTATTGTTTAAATTAAATATCCATCTAAAATTATTTCGAAGGTTTTAGATTGATATTTCTCAGCATGCACAAGTCACGTGCCGTTGCTTTTCTTCCAACTGCTGTCTGAATATCGTAAAACCTTAGTAGAATATCAGTTGTAAACAATTCGGGTAATGCTTTCAAAAGGCAAGGTACCTTAAAGAAACCATCAAAAATTAAAATATAATCTTTTAATTATTATCAAATTAAAATAAAAAAATAAATATATATGTATTAAAACTTACCAATGTTTGCGGCATTCCCTGTAATACAATACGAGTCCTATCTTTTCCACATTGTACCATTAAACGTAGAAATTGAAGTATAAAATGAGTCTGTTGAGACACTTCACCATCTCTACCAGCTAGGAACGTGAATATAGTAAACAATCCATTTAGTGCTGACAGAAGAGGATCTCTCAATATAACTGATTTCTGTCCATTAGTCGATCCTTGAGCTTGTGGACTTTGTGAGCCAAATATAGGATTGGTATCTCCAGCTTCGTTTAATCGTAAAATTTTATTCGCAGGTACACCAAGAGCATCAAGTTCTTCCGCATCTAAATCCCGACGTACTCGTTTTCTATTGTTTCCTCGAGAGGGACTCGAATTATTGTATTCTAATGTAGAAAATATACAATATACGCATAACTTTGCTAACACTGAGGATTGTGGTTCTACGAGTTCTTCGCTTCTGTAAAAATTCATTTAAATATATAAATGATTCGATAAATACATCGAGAAAAATGAAATTATTTAATATGTTTATAAAAGTTGGAATATAAATAAAATCTTACTGTAACGAGTTATATAAATATTGTGGAATGATATGGTTGATGAGATCTAAGGTACAGTTTTCGATATCAAGATGAAAAATGGCAAACGCTAAATCTACTGCTTGATCCAGTTCCTCTTGGTACCGATATTTCAATACTTCTTTTACTATATTTGTTACGAACCATAAAGAACCACCAGTATTTAATAAAGATTCTAAAGATTGTGTCGCTTGAATATTTATCCAACCTCGCTGATTTATGCTTCCCCATACAGTTTCCAATTGTTCTAATATAGGTTGTCTTGATATAATACTATCAAAAAATAAAAATTATAACGTAAAAATTCTATTAATTAATGGAAATTTTAATATAATACCTGTGAGACATTGAAAGCACTTTCGTTTTCGATTGGGTAGGAGGATGAACATCATATTGCATTTTGCGAATGATTTGTGACATCAAACTTGATCTAAGAGGCAAACTTAATTTAATTAAGTAATCTAAAAATATCTTTAAAATTCTTTAAAAATTATTTTATTCGCGCACTTACAATTCTTTGAGATTATCCTGCATTTCATCGCCAGGGAGTGGTGTTAAGAAATGTTGCACCATATTCAAAGGTTTTAAAAGAGCATCTTGATGAGTAATGCTCATATGTGCACAAAGCCAAGCTGCTGCACAGACTGGTAAACAGCAAGCAGTTGCACGTAAACCATCCAGAGCTCTTTTAACATCACTTGCTCCAAGTACATCGCTTTCCCACGCACAGAGAAGCTCTTTTACAGCACCCATAGCAGATTGACACGCGATATGCCACTTTATATTGCTAGATTTCAAATCAGGATCCGGAGAATTGATTTGTGCTAATAATGCATCTACTCTGGCAGGATCAATATTTTGTAACATTTTTTGGGGAGACTTTGGTTGATTTCGTTCGGGCATATATTCACGTACCCATTGTTCAAAAAAGGAATCTCCTTCTCCTTCTTCTAATACAGCCTAAAAAACATATAAAAATCATTAATTTATACAAAAAAAATCTTTACTTAACATTAGATGCAATCAAATAAAACTTACATCAGATCCATAAGTTTGCACTATAGAACATAGCATAAGAAATGATATATCGAATAACATCGCTCTTTTTGCTGCAGTCTTTGGTGGAACAGGTTCATTAATTTGCTTACTGCATTCATTGAACTTAATTAATTTGGTAACAAAAGTTTTAAGTTTTCCTTCTACAGTAGCTACTGCCAATATAAGTTCAAAACTGTTTCCCGTTAAAACTTGATATAACATGCTAAGCAATGCCTCGTGAATCTTTGTGTAATCTGCATTAAGAGTTTTTAAAATACCTGATAAAGTCGGCTCTGCACGTACGATTACTTTAGGAATTGAAGATGTGGCTATAGAAATTTCTAATTTTTGTAAATTCGCGGTAACACCTTCTCTTCTGCTACTTAAATGTTTAGTTTGCTTTTCTGTGACTAAGTTTACTTTTTGCAGAGCATTAAGCAAACACTCTACACTATTACAAGAACACGCAGTATCTACTATATCGAGAAGTGGAGTGAATTGGAGTAATAATTCGAATGCATCTAGAATATCTTGTGAATATTCTAATTTATCATCTGCATTTGAATGTGCTACATGTAATTCTTTTAATATAAGAGGTACTTTTAAAAAGGTAAAAGCACCCCATTGCGATTCATTGATTGTACTCGTAACATTGTGTAAGCACATTAAACACGCGCGGATTATTTCGCAATATAATCTTGTATTTGTATAATTTTTAAGTCTTTGGACCATCAGCATCTGATTAACAAATACAGAAGTTTCTGTGCTAGGATTTAATAACACTTGAACAGCAAACAAAGGTTGCAGGCAATGAGTTATAGATTCCATTTGTGACATTTCAGGAGATAAAGTTAAACAATCATCCTCTAAATTGCACAATTTTTTTAAAGAATCTTCAATTTGAATAGAAGACTTTAGGCTACTAGTTTTCAACAGAGCCTCAATCTCTTGGCACTTTTTTACAACTTCTATGTACAAATCTTTATCATCATATTTTGCTAAGTACATCATAGCACACAGGAAATCAGAACTAAGCATCTGTTTTAATATACTGGCAGGTTTATCCATCAATTCTGTTGGTTGTGGAGTTAATGGATTATTTTGAGGCATTTTTGTTAGAGTATGTAAATAACATTGTAGTAACCAATTAACTATGGATAATACTGCAGCAGCCAAAAGATCTTCCTCTGGCTTACCACGGCATGTAATTCCTATTTGAATAGATTCTAAAAATTCTAAAAGACTTAGAATGCAATGGGGTTTATGAAATGCATCATATTTGCTTATTCTTTGTAATACAGCGGCATAGGAGACCAACTAAAAATTTATATATGTAAATTATAATTATAAATATATGTAAATATTAAGTCAATAAATTAATAATATTTTATTGATAAATTATATACCTGAGAACTTAAAGAATGTTTTAGGTATGATAATACTAATTGATTTGGTCCAAGTCCTACTAATGCTTGCTGCAATATGCAGTCTGCTAAATTATATACATCTCCACTAACACCTCTAGGTAAAATCTGAAAATGATATGATATTTGAAAAATTTTTATGGAAATGCACAAATAGATACTTTTATAATCTATATATTACTTACAGTTTTAATGTTAATACCCCATTGTAAATCACTCCAACGTTCTCTCCATGCTCGTAACAAAAGAGCTTTCAAACTGCTGGTCTTACTTGTTACTTTAGTCTCCATAACTGATGTTAGGAGATTACACATAATTCCTCCTATTTAAGCAACATCTATAATATCAATAATTAATTTTGTCACAAGAACCACTTTTTGTTTCATTAAAATAAATGTGTTAAAATAAAATGATTGTAGTAAGTCGATATAACCTTAAAATAGTATAATGTATAAAGTAAATAATAATAAAATAAAAAAATATATATATATGTATATAAAGTGATTATAACGAATCAATGTATATAACCTAAAAACTACATAAGAAGGTAAAATAATCTGTATTCAGTTAAAAGTAACCATTAAAAGCAAATTTTAATCTTTTACTTTAAAATTATTATTTTGCATACCTCATATAAAAAAAATTGATTTCATTAATAAACTATGGCTGACATATTTCCAAGCCATTTTCACACCATAACTCTTCTACAGCCGTCATGACTAGCGTCATGGTGTTACTGTTAGACAGGATTGCCACTATTGGCAATTGCATAGAATCATATCTGCTATTGGAATTCCAAAATTAAACGTAAATCTCTACTCACTTCAATTAAATAGTCGATATATATTTAATAAGTTTCCCTCCTTCATTTTTTATAAATGTCAAATTAAATAGTTACCAATAATTCATTGAACTCATTTCACTAAAATTTTCTGTTCCATATTATAAAAAAATATATAAAACATGTTTTTAATCGAGTACATCTTTTAAAGCGAATTCTTTTTCCACAATTTATTTAAAATTTCATGAACTTTTAAAAATTATAAACTATGATATACATTATCAGATTTTATAATAGTTTCAATTAAATCAAGAAGTTTAATGTCAGGATTCATTAAAAGAAATCGACTATCAGAAAAAATGGGTGTCTGTACCAGAAGAAGATTATTAGTCCACACTGTTACATTTTTTACATGGCCAGGATGGAGCTTTATAACATTACTAGTAATTCTAATAGCAATTGGATTATTTTATTTTTTTGTTTATGTACGTGTAATATACTATGTACGTATTTTGTATAAAATTCAGTTATAAAATATTTTAATTTATCTTAATAATATAAGTATATAATTAATATGTTATAAGATCTAATAAAAATTTATACCTCTTATAGAAACAAATGTATATAATTTGAATCTAAAAAGAACTAAGGCATACGGAAGAAGCTGTTTTCTTTTTAATAAATTATAGAAATGAAGAATTTTTCGCTTTAAGTACTATTGCATATACTTTCTAAAACTGAAACTTTTATATAATGATACATACAAAATAATTATACAAATAATAAAAATAAAATGAAATTTTTCTAAAATAAACGACTTCAATAATTTTATTATATATATAATATAAAAAAGTATAAATTTTATGAAATAAGTTTTCAATATTTTATATCTTTTTTATGTAAAAATTTTTTTAAAATTTTAAAGAAAGACTAATAACTGTTTTTAAGAAACAGTTATTATAATTTCTTTTATTGTAATTAAAGAAATTATTTTTCAATGATGTTCTTCCAATTTTATGTTCATGACTCAACATTCTATATGAAATGCGTCGTACATTTTCATACATTTCATTCAGTTTAAATCAATCAGTCTGATGCAACATCAGGGACAAAGCATAACTTGTTTTTAATAATATTTTTAGAATTCTGAATTCTTATTCATTTTATTTCATTTTTCATTATATTTAATCTTCATATTCAATCTTATCCACTTTTTAAACGTATCCATCGATTTTTTTTTCAAATATTAATTTTCGAAAACACACTTTCAACTTTAAATTCGATTTTCGAATGAGATTTAAATTTTTCTCTAAATGTAATTTACAAAATAAAATTCAAAATGCGCGAGATTCAACCCTGTTGCCGCCTATCCGATCTATCGACCTATCACTTGCCAGAAGTTCTCTCGACCAATCATTTCGTCGGAAAGTCATAAGCTTCCGTGACGTAGTTATTGCCACGCTGGCAGTTCAATTGACAATATCGTGCCATAAATCGAACATTCGTGCTATCTTCGAATAAAATAAACAATTTATTGCAGTGCTGGTGTACCGAAACTGATATATAATAGTAAAAATTTCTCAATATGCTTAAAGAAGCATTGTGAATGATTTGAATGGACATTGGGCGGAAATGTTGAAGGTAAAGAATACCTTCCAATTTTAAAAGGTGCTCTCTCGCTCTCTGAGCAATAAGAGCCTCAGGGTGGGGCGAAGAAGCCGAATGTCTGTCCGACTGTCCGTGACGGGTTCTTTTCCTCCGTTAGTTGCCTGATGCGCTTTATCGTGTCTGAGTGTAACGTTGGTGCAGTGCCTAAAGTGTTTTTTTTTAATGGAAACGTAGTGATTGCAGTGCATTCTATGTAATAAACATATATACACGTAAAGTGTACGATTGATAACCAACGAGGGATGTCGTCTACAGATATCAACCTGATGGATTTCCTCTTCCCAAGAGAAGACGCTTTCCTAAAAGGCGACATTAAGGACGAGCCTTTCATAGATCAGAGCTACAACGATGACGCCATCACGGTGAGTTTCTGATGCACGTTTTTATCACATTTTTATCATTTAATTTTTCTTTTCTTTCCAATAATTACTTACTTTCGAACCAGTTCTTTTGTGACTCTAAGAAAACTAGTTTCTTTATATATACGAATATATAAAGAACTATAGGAATAACTGGAAGCAGGTTTCGATGAACTATAGTTTGGATAGTTTGTTGGTTGAAAGGTTATACAAAAATAATCGTGATTAATCAAAGACAATCGAGGAATTGGATAAAGTGGCTGGCTCATTAATATCGCGCTTCCCAAGTTCCCGGAATATCACATGCAAAAATAGGTCTCTTTTATATAATTGAAAATTCGATATACATATGAAAAAATACCTATGTATGTAAAAGGAATATAAATTTCAGCGAAGTCTGATTTCCTAAGAAAAATAGGCGAAATGTTTTTTAAATTAAAAATGAATTCTATTGCAGTTTGTTTGTCAAAAATGTTAATACAATGAATAATTTCTAAGGCTGGCGAAACCTTCAAAGATCATCGACTCATGTTTTACGCAATGTTATCGATGAATATTGAAAATAATGCGAAGACCGGCATGTGAAAAAGTTTCACGTTTTGTCGTATAAACAAATAGATCATTTTAAGCTATGCATTCTCTATCATTATTCATACAATAATTTAAACTTAGTAAACTCTAAACAAACCTAGAAAACTCTAGATGAAAAATTCTAATATTCTTGAAGCGCAAAAAATGATGCTATTATACTTCATCACGATCTGTGCTACTTTCATCGCGTCTTTAATTCTTCATTCGACTAACGAGACCATCTCTTGCTTTCATTACTAACCATTATATTCAATTACGCTCAACAAGCCACGAAACGATCCGTACAGAGAATATTATAGAATTATTGTTAATCATAGCCGAAACATAAAAGGACAATTGACGTGATATCGAATGTTTATGATAACAGTTGTAAATTACGATTATGATTAACTATAAGTTCCTGTTATTCATCGTTAATTCTTGTTAACATATGGTGTACCCACGTGTCGATGTATACGAATATTTGTCGTCTGTTATTTACAGATTATCAGATGTTTTAACAAATAATTTATCATCTTAAAGTAATTGGAAATTAATAAGATACAACAATGAAAAACATAACTTATCAATAATCGAATGATTTATAAAATATAAAAAAATCGAAATAAAAAAATTATTGTTGTTTCTTTTTCTAATCTTTTTCAAGTTGTTATAAAAATTATTCGATCTCTGTTTCTTTATATTAACTGGGAAATGTATGCGGATATTATTATTACATAACCATATGTTTTTGTAACATATGGAATGGTTTAATGCACGTGCTCTGTTGTGGTAGCCGCCATATTGGAATGTTCGATAAACACTTAATTATATATTTTATATCTCATTAAAAATAAAAAGGATATTTGTTTACAAACAATCTTTAAATCTGAAGAGAACCGATTAAATTAATTAACTCAAATTAAATAATAATTAACATAATTCTTTCTTCAATTCTACATAATCCTATGTAAATAATTTCTATTCTGATTGATATATAATGGAGTTTTTACAATAGAGATAAATGTCTTTATGCAGAATCGAAACGAGAATGCAAGCACCCGTCATGGCGAACGACCTTCGAACGAAAAGTACCGTTACGTTACGGGACTCCATGTGAATAGTCTAAAAAATTCTGACCACTTTTTTTTCGAAACAATGAAACTTAATCCATTTGTGTGCATACAAGTGTGCATACAACGAATTCTTGCATCTGTATAATTACTTCGTATAATAAATTTAAAGATTAAACAGAAGTTTAAAGTTTAATAAAAAATTTCCATAAAGGTGGAGAATTTTTAAATATCTTTGATTTTTTATTTCATTCGTCTTTGTAAACGCGGAAGATTATTTTTTAACGCTTTATTTAATTTTCATTTCTCTTTATTCTGTTATTTCAAACATAAAGCGAACATCTGTCAATTTTAATAAGAAAAAGTCTCACAGAGAATTCTAAATTTAGGATAAACACAGAAACATCTTGCATGAGATCACAATTTATTTTTAATTCAAAGAATATGGAATAATTCAAGAAAAATTTTAAATGTATATATTCTTGAATATTGATCGATATAAATTCATTTAAATATCAAAAAAAAAAAGAAAAAAATCATGAAATTCTGAAAAATAACAATTGTAATATTCATAAATATGTACAACTTACGTAAAAATGAAAATTCTGTATGAAAATTTCATAAACCTGAAACGAATTACTTGATAATATATGTATATATAAGCAGATATAATTTATATATAAATTTAATTAGCATTTGAATGTATCAAACAATTATTTAGAATGATTCGCTTTTTTAATTCCTTTCAGTTTTCTCTTTATTCGTGATTTAAGAGGTATACCAGTGAAATCGTAAAATTCGAGCAAACCAGTGTTTCCACGCTTGACTATATTTATCATTCCTCTTGTGCTTGGAAACTAGGTTACTCGACATTGGGCAAATGCTCGATTCATCGCGAGCCGAGCGACAAGCGCCTCGACCATTTTTCAAGCTTCGCTAAGCCGATTAAGCTAACTTTCATCCAGATATCTAAATGGAGCACGCATTAGCAAAGCTTGTTACTTCCATTCTAAATCTTTAGATCTATTGCAAATGCGACATCGTTGGCATTTCGTAACGATGACATTCTATCGTGTGCAATGCGAACAATCTTCTTATTAGAAATATAAAATGAATAATATCACTGCTAGAAGATCGCAAAGAAATTGAATGATTTGTCTATGTCGTGCCCAAAAACTGAGATCGTTTTATCGCGATGCATATTCATCGGATCAATATAATCCGATCTAAATGGAACAACGCTGTATCTGGAGTAGAAACTAAAGAGAACGGCTGCAGCCAAGTAAAAGTACCATTCAAAACAAATTGCATGCACTCGT